GCAGCAGGAGGTGCTGCTGCTGCTGCAGCAGCAGCAGCAGCTTGTCCAGCGCCTGCAGCCCAGACGCCTTCAGAGGATGGGCGTTTTGCATTTATATGAGCAGCAGCAGCAGCAGCAACAACAGCAGCAGCAACAGCAGCAGCACGAACAGGCTTTGGATGTAGCCAGCCTGCAAAAAAGAATTATGCAGGTCCGCTGTATGCTGCTGCTGCTGCTGCTGCTGCTGCTGCTGCTGTTGCTACTCATTCTTGGTTCGGTTGTTGCTGCTGCAGGCGCCAGAGCCGCTGCTACTGCATTGCCGTTGCATGTGCTGCTGGTTTGCTGCTGCGTTTGCTGCTGTTCCTGCTGCAGCGATTGAAGCCCTGTGAAGATCTCAGCACCAATAGTGCGGCAGCAGCAGCAGCAGCAGCAGCAGCAGGCAGTGTAGATCGGTCGTACCGCGAGATGGAGTGTCTCCTGGGGAGTAATTCTCAAGAACAACGTGTTGTAAGCAGCAGCAGCAGCAGCAACAGCAGCAGCAGCAGCAACAGCAGCTGGGACCCGCTGCCTGTGGTGCTGGAGGTTAATTCTTCTTTGCGGCTGCTGCATCTGTCTCCTCAAGCTCTGCAGCACGGTGTTGCTGCCTTTCTTAGAGGGGCCTCAGCGGTGCTGCTGCTGCAGCTGCTGCTGCGCCGAGCGTTTGCTGCTGGGTACTCCATAGAGCAGCTGCAGCAACAGCAGCAGCTGAAGCAGCAGCAACAGCAGCAACAGCAGCAGCAGCAGCAGCGTCTGCAGTCGCGCTTGCTGTGGGGAGCAGCATCAACAGGTATTGCGACGCATGCAGCAGCAACTGCAGCAGCAGCGGCTGCTGCTGCTGCCGAGCAGCAGCAGCAGGACTTGCTGCCTCGATCTCTTATAGAGCTGCTGCTGCTGCGGCCGTTGCAGCAGCAACAGCAGCAGCAGCGCCCGACGACGGTTAATGCGAGGACTTGGGTGCAGCAGCAGCAGCAGCAGCAGCAGCAGGGAGGGGGCCCTTGGAGCTGCTGTCTTGAGGCTTTTCTATACGCTGTGCGGTTGATGCTGCAGCAGTGGGAGGCGCAGCTGCTGCTGCTGCGGCTGCAGCAGCTGCAGCAGCTGCAGCAGGAATGGCATGTGCCCTATGCATGCGGGTTTCATCCGTCTGCAGCAACAGCAGCAGCAGCAGCAGCAGGCCCTCTCCCCCCTTTACCTTCAACAACAGCAGCAGCAGCAGCAGCAGCAGCAGCAGAAAGCGGTGCAGCAGCATCAGCAGCGTTTCCTGCTGCTGCAGTGCGACCCCTGACGTTGCTGTCGCTGCAGCAGCAGCTGCGCAGCAGTCTCCGCTGCTGGGAGGAGACAGCGCGTATCTTGGAGATGGCTTTGCATGCGGCAGCAAGCAGCAGCAGCAACAGCAGCAGCAGCAGCAGCAGCAACAGGGCAACCCCAAGTGCTTCAGCGGTTTCAGGAGCCCTGCTGCAGCTGCTGCTGCAGCGGCTGCAGCAAGCAGAGCTACGGGGGGATTTGTTGCAGCAGCGGTTGCTGCGGTTTCTGCTGTCTTTTGCTGCAGCTCCGCTGCTGCAGCAGATTGATCAGCTGCTGTGCTGCTGCTGCACCGCCAGCATGCAGCAGCAGGTTTGCTGCGACCCGCCTCCTGCTGCTGCAGCTGCTGCTGCTGCAGCAGGGCTAGCTCCCATCGGGAATCTCCGAGGCAGCAGCAGCAGCAGCAGCTGTTGGTGGGGCGTGCTGCAGCAGTGCCTCAATGATGCTGCTGCTTCGGGGTGGTATGCAGCAGCAGCAGCAGCAATGAGGGGAGGCTCTGCTGCTCGGGGCTGCGCAGCCTTGGGGGGTCAGAGTAAGCGGCAGCAGCAGCAAGAGCTGCAGCAGCTGCTGCAGCACTGTCCTTGCACCACAGCAGCAGCAGCAGCAGCAGCAGAGGTAGCTACAGCAGCAGCAGGCACAGCTGGCTTTTCGATTGATATAACAGCGGAGCTCCTAGACCTCGCGAGGGCCGAGCAGCAACAGCAGCAGCAAGCAGCAGCAGCAGAGAGCAACCCTTGCTGCTGCGGCAGCGACTGCAGCAGCAACTGCAGCAGCAACTGCAGCAGCTCGAATGAGGCCGTGCTGACGTCGGACTTCCTGCAGCAGCTGTCAAGACACTTCAGCAAATGGCGCTCTGTGCCCTGCAGCAAACTGCAGCAGCAGCAGCAGCAGCAGCAGCAGAGGCAGCAGCAGCAGCAGCAGCAGCAATATAGTAAAAAGGCACGGGGAAGAGGCATTGCGCTGCCTGCGTTGCTTGCCTCTTCAACCGCCAGCAGCACAACGTCTTTTAACAGCAGCAGCAGCAGCAGCAGCAGCAGCGAGTCGGAGGGTGAGGACGCGTACAAGCTTGTGCTGGCAGCAACAACAGACTCCCGCCTGCAGCAGCTGCAGCAACAGCAGCAGCAGCAGCAGCAGCAGCAAGAACCGCAGGAGGACGAGCAAGAGCAGCAGCAGCAGCAGCAGCAGCAGCAGCAGGAGCTAGTGCTTCCGTCAACTTTGCTGCTGCAGCAGCTGCTTGTACAGCCATTGAAGGAGCTACGAATTTGCTCGCAGCAGCTGCTGCTGCTGGAGACGCTGCAGAGGGGTTTTGCCTTAGAACAAATTGCTGCTCTTAGGGCCCTCTTCTCCCTGCAGGTGCTGCTGCTGCTGCTGCTGCTGCTGCTGCCGCTCTTGTTGCAGCCACTGCTGTTGCTGCTGTTGTTGTTGCTTTTGCCGTTGCTGCTGCTGGCGCGTTTGCTGCTGCAGCGGCCGTATCCTGCGTAGGGGATGCTGCTGCTGTTTCTGCCGCCGTTGCTGCTGCTGTTGCTGCTGCATAGGTATGGTGTGGGGCTTGCGTTTGCATGCATGCAGGATGAGGCTTTGCTGCTGCCGGTGCTGCGGCTGCTGTTTGAACGAGTGCATGCGCCTTTGGCACATGTAGACCCGCTGCTGCTGAACAGTTTGCTGCAGGAGGCCTTCTGCAGCAGCAGCAGCAGCAGCAGCAAGGGGCAGCAGCAGCAGCAGCAGCAGCAGCAAGGTTTCCATCCGTTGGGAATGCTGCAGCTGCCCAGCGCGAAGGCCTTGACAGCAGAAGCACCAGTAGCAACAACCACTGCAGCAACAGCAGCAACAACAGCAACCGCAGGGGGAGCAGCAGCAGCAGCAACAGCAACAGCAGCAGCAGCGAGATTCAACACGGAGAGCATAGCCTGGCAGCTGCATGCACGCATGCGGGCTGCGTTGAGCGCAGTAGCTGGGCTGGTAAGCACGGACAGCAGCAGCAGCAGCAGCAGTGGCAGCAGCAGCAGCAACTGCAGCAGCAGCAGCAGCAGCAGCTTGGCGAGACGAGTTGAAGCTGGGCGTGCTGCGGTGTACGAGGACCTCTTCTCTGTTCAGAGGCAGCAGAAAGCGCTGCAGGGTTTAACTGTCTCCTTAGAGGAGACACCTTATATTCTTAGGGCTGAGCAGCAAAAGTCTCTTGCCTTCGCATGCATGCAGGTATTTGCTGCTGCTGCTGCTGCTCCTCCTCCTCCTCCTGTTGCTGCTTCTTCTGCTGCTGTTGACGTGCAGACGTTCTGCTGCTGTTTGTGGGGGCTTTGCTGCTGTGTCTTTCGTGCATGTGGTTTGCTGCTACTGTTGTTGTTGTTGCTGCTGCTGCTGCTGCAGGTGAAGCAGAAGGGACCTCAGGGTAACAGCCCCACAGTATTATCTGCTGCTGCTCTCGCTGCTGCTGCTGCTATCTTAGCATTCAATATTGAAACACGCAGATCGGTATTAACAGCGGAGCATCTGCTGCAGGTGTCTCCTGGGTTTGCTGCTGCCTTCCAGCAGCAGCGGCGCCACCGCAGCAGCAGCAGCAGCAGCAGCAGCAGCAGCAGCAGTGTGGTATTCCGCTTCTATGGGGTGGTGTTAGCAGCAAGACAGGAGCTGCTGCATCTGCTGCATGCACTCAATCAACATGTGGGGCTGTGTATATTTGCTGCTGAGGTGCCGCTGCTGCTGCTGCTGCTGCGGTGTACGAACACAGAGCAGCTTGCAGTGTATCATTTCCAGCATTTGCTGCTGCTGCTGGCAGTCTTGTTGGTGCCGCTGTCTCCTGCTGCAGCAGCAGCAGCGGAGGCAGATGCAGCAGCAGCAGCATCAGCGGCCGCTGCAGCAGCTGCTCCTGGCGGCGGTAGCGCAGCAGCAGCAGCAACAGCAGCAGCAGCAGCAGCAGCAGCAGCAGGAGTCATCCCCTCTTCACCGCTCAGCTTTGCTACCAATGTAGCAGCAGCACCGCACATCCTTACTCTGCTGCGAGCGCCTCT